AACGATGGTCGCCCCAACTAATGATAATATAATTTTTATATAAAAAATTATGTTATCTCTTCAGTACCTCCCAAACGACAAAAGAACACCAAATCACCCCCATCATACTATGTAAAAAAAATAACAATTCAAATGACGTCTGCACCCCTTGGTTGTTTTTTTGCTGTTGTTGTTGACCTGTAAGACTATTTATATTAATTTGGCTTAATTTAATTTAGACTTTAGACCATTTATTTAGTTGCATTGTTGATGTAAATAGTTGTCACTACTTTGGTCAATGTTTTTATGTGTTCTAAATCTATTTTAAAAAGCAATGATAAATTGATTGTAGACGCCAATTACTGACGTTAATATGACTGCATTTTTGTTGCTCTTTTTTTTGGGAGGTATTTTGTTGTATTTACATTATTTTTGTTTTTATATATTATTGTAAATGCTATTGCCAAAAATAGCAAAACAAAAGAACATCGCATATAGAAATACATATCTTAACAGGGTGGGCTAAAAGGTAATGTTAAAATAAAAAATAGATTCTTCGGAAAGGAAAAAAAATTGCAAAAAAGTATATAAATATTTAGTTTTTTTATTTTTTCTTATTGTTCCTGAATTTTATCACACCCTGCCTATTTCAATTCAAATGCAAATAAATATATTTTGTTTGTATGTATTATTTGAACGTCCTATATTACATCTTATTTCTAATGATCAGAGTGTGATAATCATGACTATTTAATGACGTCATTATTGGGGATTTAATGGGATTTTCCATTGAAAGTTGGCACACAATTTTTGTATACATTTTTTACATTATACGTTAATGTATAGAAAATAGACTGAAAGTGTATAAAATCCAGAGGTTTGAAAAATTTGCATATTTGCACAAAAGTATAGCAAACATCGTAATTGTGAGGTGGTTGATATTTTTCACATCGGAACAATTAAAATTCTGTTGATATTTTGTAGATTGGGAAATTACGTTTTATTATTTTATATATTAAACAGAAATCATCCTTTACATTGTCCTTAAATTTATATATTTTTTTAATAAACACATATGTTCAGCATAAAAACTAGTCTCACTTTAAATCAGACTTAATTTGATATTGAGATAAATAAGCTGAACAATATAATAAAATATACATATGAACTGATATTGTTCATCATTGCATTATACGAGGGGTGTTCGCAAAGTATAATCATTATCTGATTATTTGGAAATAATTTCGTATTTTGGTTTTCTTTTTACGATTTCACTGTACAGGATTGTCCATTTTGTGGTTTTGAATAAAACATCTATAAAATATTTTTTCATGCCATATATTTGTGTACCCTCCACCATAAGATGGAGTCTATAATAAATTTGTCATTCCGTTTGCAATACCTCGAAATATTCACCGGAGACCGCATAAAGTATATATATATATATATATATATATTCTTGATCAGAGTAAAGTTTTATGTCGATTCATGCATGTCCGTTTGTTGAAATCACGAATGAGATCGCAATATTTGAGTTCTGAAATTTTGCACAGACATTGTTAGTACTTCTAGGATGTTTGGCATTACAAATAGCATATATCGGTTCACGTTTTGGTGTATCCCCCATATAACGGCAGTCCCGTTTATTTAGGGCATTTTGGAGACGTTTTCCAACCGAATTAGTTGTAATTCGTCATTTTGGCTGTTAATGGTATACCACATCTCATACCAAAGATATTAATATTGACTCAAGTTTTAGGCTACCCCGTATATAGCGGTACCCCAGAATATTCGGTATTTTGGGGATTTTGGATACGTTTTCCAACCGAATTGGTAGTATTATGGAATTTTGGATTCCCATGGTATAGCACATTTTTGTACTAAAGACCAGTAAGGAAAGTAGTAAAGTCGGACGGCGCCGCCTTTATGATACCCTTCAGCACTTTGGGTATGAACAACAGATGCTTTCTAACAGACGTCGCATTTTTGTAGGACCATTAACATGAAATTGGATGAACTAATGTATGTGTCTTTATCTAATTGTGAACAGTCTTAGATCAATTCATGAATTTTCACTTGACCATATATAAAACCAGTGAGCGTAGCAGTATAGTCGGACGGGGCCGACCATATGATACCCTACACAACTTCCACGAAACTATAACTTTCCGTGGTTCTATATTCTGAGCTTGGGCAATATTTCGCGATATTTGCACTCTCTTCACTGACTAGTGGTCAACAAATTTTACAAATATTCGGTACAGCCCTTCTAATCACTTGTTCAGATTCCCTTCACCGTGGGTTGTGTTGTGATGTTTGGCTTTCAATTTTGGTCTATAGATCGACTCGAAAAAAAAACTAAAAAATAAGTTTTCGGTTCATTTCATCCCAAAATTATTATCTGATCATCACCGAAAATTATAGGCGTTGTCGGTGACCATAACTTGAACCTCATGGAAAATTTCAAAGCGATCAGCGCTATATTTCCGCCCTCCAGTGTGGTAATGGGTTACTAAATAATATATGAATACGCAAGCACCTGTAAATATGTATGTGTAAGTCCCGTATCGGAGTACATACGACAATATAATTGGTATCAATTTAAAGGTCAACCACTCCTCTTGAACATACTATCAACTTCTTGGGTCTAGGGCCTTCAGGTGCTAATATATACCCCATAGAATACAAATTTTGTAATTTTTCACACAAAATTCAGGGTCCAGGTATTTGGGTCATAATTGCGCCCTCTGGAGCGACCAGAAAATCAGACAAAAATAAAGTTTTTGGTCCATTTCTTCCTCTAAATATTCACTGATCTTTTCCAAAAACAATCATTGGCCAGAACCCATCCTACATGCAAAATTTCGTGAAGATTGGTCCATAAATGTGGCCTGTATCGTGTTTACAAATTATAATGGACAGACGGACGGACAGACGGACGCACATGTCTAGATCGATTCAGCTAGTCGAGATATGATGATCGGTATACTTAAAGCTGGGTCTGGGACCAATATTTCGCTGCGTTACAAACTCTTGGGGCTGCACAAAGCTATAATACCCTGCCAACATAGGTGTGTAGGGTATAATTATGTAAATCAATGTAATGAAGCAAATCCCAATCAGACACCCATATATTATTTGGCGACCAAATGAAAATTATATCCAAATCTAAACAGATTTTTACGAAACTTGCCGCAGGTTAGACTTCACTGACATATTTTGGGTCCTTAACATCGATCGATAATATATATGGGAGATATAGTACGTTGTGTAAAATTTTGTTTCAATCGGCCTAACTTTGGACCTTGGTGCACCATTTACTTAAAATCGGACGAAACTATTTATGGGAGCTATGTCTAAATCTGAACCGAATTAAAAAAAAACTTGACACAGGTTAGACTACACTTACTTCAGTACGTTGTGTAAATCTGCACCGAGCAATATATAAATCTGAACCGATTTCAACAATACTTCGCAAAATGTTGTGTCAATCGGCCTATATTGAGGTCTTTGATGCCCCATTTTCTTAAAATCGGACGGAAATATATATGAGAGCTTTATCTAAATCTGATTTCAACAAAACTTCGCATACATCAATCTGGACTTAATTCAGAACGCTCTTCAAAATGTTGTGTTAATCGGCCTATCTTTGCTGCACAATTTTCTTAAAATCAGACGAAAATATATATGGGAGCTATATCTAAATCTGAACCGATTTTTCCCAATTTGAATAGGTTTTTTCATTGTGCCAAATAAATGAGCTGTGCCAAATAAATCTAGATCTAGATCATATTGGATTCCTCCTTTTGATACCTGAGCCAAATTAAGGTTTACATTTTGAAGACGGCCAAAATATCTACTTTGAAGCCTATCTGGAACCTCCCAAAGAGGATAAAAATTAAAGAAAATATATTAATCTCATTTGAATCGAATGCAGTATCCGTAAATTGCACATATCGTTCAGGTCGTATTTTTTTGGGATATTCAAAAATAGATTTTCATGTTAATGTACATGTTTTCACATGTACCTCGTTTTTCGCCTTTGAGGATTAACGCTATATGCTTCGCATCAATTACATTAAATTCAATGCAATCATTTGATTTGCTCTTCTAAATCTCAACAAAGAGTTAAATTAATGTTTCCTTATGAAAATTATAGTTCTACATACAAATATAAAAATTGCTCACTTAAAAATACACATTTATACGGGCGGTATACCGCTCGTACCCTGTACGGAGAGCAAAAATGCTGTGTTTTTTTTTTGGCAGAACTCTTCACCTATCCCACCCAATCCCATATGGTCGTTCGGTTGTAAATATTTTGCAGGGGTGGACAATTTAAGTGAATTTGTTTAGATTGTTGCTGCGGTTTTTTTTGTTGTTTTTCTACCCTCTACTATTTGTCTCCTGCAAAATAAACCAAAAATGTTGTATTTTGTGCACCAAAATTGTGATGCGGACGATGATGATGGTGATGGTACGGACGGTGAATAAAATTTGTTTTTACACTCTCGTTCAATGATCAGTTGAGGTCAGATGATCCGGAAGACAAGATCTTTTAGACGCTCTACTAAATAAATAATACAACAAGCTATCGAAATTAAAAGCAGAGAACAAAAACAACAACCACATTCGAAATTATTCCCCCAAGAGATTTTGCCCAGCAGGAAAACTCACAAAGAATTGAAATTATTAATTTTTTTGCTGCATAGTTTCGGTTCTCAGTTGTTATTTCGTTCAGTACGCGGACAAATTGCTTGGATTGGCCAAGTGTTGTTGTTTTGATTCTATGCGATACGGTGATTTTGCTAACCGTCGGCGTTAGTTTAAAATCGTGTGATCGGTCGTCTGGAAAATAATAAATATTATAGAGCGGATATATGTCGCATAGTAGTCAACAGTATCGCAGTGACGCTGGTGCCCTGAAAATCCTTCAAGCTGAACTCATCAAAACCACCGTTGCCACCGCAAGTGAAACAACGTTACACCGGCAACAATACCGAAGCGGAAGCTGGTGTCGCCACCGTTCAGGACGAAGATTGCGAACTACAATCGTTTGCGGATGCGATACGAAAACATAACCTTAGTAAACCGATAAATCGGGCACGTGAAACAAGGCTATCCTCGGCCGCCCTACGACGACACCAGTTGAAAATGTCCCTCAAAAAGGGTGGACCACCGCCAGCACCGTCAACAGGAGCGGCAGGAGTACAAATATCTATGTTGTCGCAACCGACAAATGTTAGTGTTAGTGAAAAGAAACATTTGATGGTGATAATTGATAGCAAAAAAGACGAAGAATATTTGTTTCTTCTTGTTCATTTATTTTTTTTAGTGAACAAAGTGAAATTGTTGATAGATTCTTTCGGTTTTGTTTTGATTTTTTTTATTCCTCAAGTGGTATTTTTCTTTGTGTCCGAATAGTGTTCGTATTAACATATGATTGAATTCGGTAATACGCAATTTTATTAGAATTCATTCAAGGTTGTTACAAGTTGTAATGTTTTGAAAATTAAAATATTTTTAAAAGGTGTTTATTTGGAAAGGAGTTAATGAGAATCCCAACGTTAGAAATTGTATAAGCAAATGCGGCGCTATTTTATCAAAACAATGCAGACCTTTATGCGGTAACTAACAGACAGTTTTACTATTCCTAGGATCATTGGTGTTCTCTATAGAAGCGCACACAATTCGGTTCGGTATACCCAATTACAGATACTTAACTGGGAACTTCAATGCATTGGAAGTGGGACCTTTATATGAGGACTACATACGAACATGGAGCTATATTGACATGTCTTTTGGGAGTACATTTTTTATTCCTCCGGAATACGAAATTACAACCACTTACAACCAACATAGAAAAATATTTCAAACAATCAATTTTTAGCCAACATTTATTGTCAAACAAGTTTCATGCCAGTAATAGTGTTTGAATAGAAAAAAATCAACAGAAAAAGTCTCGTGAACATGTGAACATTTACCCATGTGTGTATGTTTACTCGGTTTCCGCTTTTCCTCACATTTTATGTGATTTTTTTCTAGACATAGAAAAACATTTTGTTTGTTTTTTGTGGTAATGTTCGAAAAAAAACTGTCACAGTTTGCCATTAGTTGCTTTGTAAATTTCCCTATCTTTGCAATGAACTTGAATTAAAATTGATCGACATATGTGATCAAGTTCACAAACTAACACACACACACTCACTAACGATCAATGTACCACATAAAGAGTCAAATTATTTTATTTTAAATTAATTAAAGAAAATTGTATTTGTTCTAAATAGAAAATGCGTTATGACGTTTTATATATAATTGGCCCAAATATTTCAAATCAAGGCAAATGGCAAATAAATAAAAAAAAAAACACACACACGTACACCACTTGAAACATTGTGACGTAACAAATAAACAATTGTTAAAAATATGCAAATATTTTTTTTTGGTTTGTATTTGTATAAACAAAAACAATTATTTGTTTACAATGATGCCTCAAAACCAATATCGTACCATTGAAATGATATATGACTACGCATTTCAAATTTGTAAACAAATCGTTTATAATTGTATATTCCAAAAATTTGCGAAGAGAAGAATTGTGTGTGTGTGTTTTTTTAAAGAATTGGAAAAAATTATGGAAACGTGTTCTCTGAGTACGTACTTACATATGAGGTCCACAGTAAAAATGTATATACAGCCATATTATTATATCCTTGTTATACAAATTGATTTTTGATTTAGCAGCCTTGTTGCACTATGTAACAAGCAAGTAAAATGGTTGGGATATCGTTGAGAAGTGGATTGAAAATGCTCCGTTAGGACTTCAAAATATATAAAATCAGGGCCCAGTGTAATGGAAATTTGAAAAAAATAATCGTATTTTTCTCTGAGCGACCATTACAGAAGGGCTTTTACAAAAATATATTGAGATCAAGGCCTGTATCGTATTTTTTTCTGAGCGATCATTACAGAATGGCATTTAAAAAATATATTGAGATCGAGGTCTGTAATGTGAATATTTATTCCCCAAACTTGGTTTATTGTTTTTCGAAATAATCTTTAGCAGGATTTATACCAGTTTTTTGTGTGCTCAAATCAATTGTCGCAGCATTTGTTGCACTCTGATATACACTCCTTCAATACAAGCTTTTGACCAGTTCAACAGCATCTTCTGGCGACGAAAATAATTGATCACGGGTTTTTCTTGGTGTGCAAAAATTAATGAAGTCAATGGTTGCCAAATCTGTAAAGGAATTTAGTCGCGATATTGCTCATAACGACTATTGCCTGTAGTGACAAATTTTGCTGGTCGCTTGACCGGCGTTATAAGTGTCTTTGCCTATGTTTTAAATGTCCCTCTCATAGTGGGCACCAGCCGAATCTAACAAAGTTTTTACTTGCTTTTTTGTTTGCAAATTGATTTTTTAAGTTATTGTAAAAAACAAAACACATGTTGGTACGCACAAACGGTGCTTATTAAAATAATTAAAAATTGCAAACATTTGAATGGAAATGTCAGATGGCGCTAAGCAGAACATGGTACATATCTATACCAAAACTAGTAAGCGGAGCAGTTCCATATGATACCCTACACAACTACCACGAAAATCTAACTGTTCTATTTATTGAGACTGGCAATATTTCGCGATATTTGCACCCTCTTTATCGATTATAGATCAACAGCTCCACTTTATAACCCTGGCATATTTTTCAAATCTTATTTTGCTGAGGTGAATATTTACCTCATACAATAAAAATCTGGTCACTTTAGGTTTTGGTTGATTTGACCCTCGGAGTATTGCCCATTTAAACAGCCGTTCTAAATATTTGATCAGATCTCCTTCACCGTGTAAAATTTGTGATGTTCTGCATTTAATAATGGTCTCTATATCGCATGAAATATGACAAAAATAAAGCTTTCGATTCTTTGCAACCCCCTAAATATCATCTCAACATCGCCGAAAATTATAGGCATGACCATAACCTGAACTTCATGTAAAATTCTAAAGCGATCAGCTCGACATTTCGGCGTTTTAGTGGGCTAATAGCAATACTGAGCAATATCATAACATATAGACACCTTTAAATATTTACGCATAACTCCAACATTCGAGTACATAAAAAAATATAATTAGCAGCAATTTTTAAGGTCAACCACTCCTCTTGGATATAGTATCAAGATTTCGGGTCTATATTTTTCAGGAGTAAATATATACGCCATAGAATACAAACTGGACATTTTTTCACCCAAAAATCGTAAAATCATAACCTTGTTCTTTGGACAGATTCCGTTACTGGTATAAAATTTCGTGGTGTTCGGGTCATAATTGTGACCTATAGAGCAACCAGAAAAGCAGACAATTTAAAGGGCAACCACTCCTCTTGGATATAGTATCAAGATCTTGGGTCTATATTCTTCAGGAGTAAATATATGCACCATAGAATAAAAACTGGCAATTTTTTACCCAAAAGTCGTAAAATCATAACCTTGTTCTTTGGACAGATTCCGTTACAGGTGTAAAATTTCATGGTGTTCGGGTCATAATTGTGACCTATAGAGCAACCAGAAAAGCAGACACAAATGTTTTTGCTCTATTTCATCCCCTAAATGTTAACCAATCATTGACATAAATCAATTGAGGTCTTCTTGGGCCAGAACCTACCCTCCCAGCAAAATTTCGTGACGATAACTGTGTCCTGTATTGTGTTTACAATGATAATGGACAGACAGACGAACGGACAGACAAGTGTAGATCGACTCAGCAAGTCGGTATCGGTAAACTTAAACGTGGATCTAGGATCAATATTTCGCGGCGTTGCAAACCCTTGGGGCTGTACAAAGCTATTACAACATAGTAGTGTAGGGTATAAATATTTATGGTATAACTCTAGCTGAGTATTTTGCCTTTATGCAAAATGTTACACAAATGACTTAAGGACAACCCCTATTGGTACAAATCGATTCAGATTTAGATATGGCTCCACATATGTATTTTCGTGCGATTTCTCGTAAATGATGCAACAAATTTTACTTAGAGCTTAACATACATTTAAGATATAAACCTTATATTGTATATTTTTTTAAATTTTCGTAATTCTTGGATTTTTTTAGTTTTGCCAAAATAGTAAAAATTTTTCTAACACACCTAACAAATATTTTCCAAATACGCAATTTTATGATGAACTACTTGAGAGCGAAACAAAATGTGAAATAAACCGAAAATAAATTTTACGCCAATTAAAATGTATTCAACAAAAAAGTGTCGATTTAAAAAAATATATTTTTTTTTTGTTTTATTTTTTTTTTGTGATGTGTGTGTGTTTTTATTCTTTTGGTTTCAATTAAATATTTTGCCTCTGCATTTGTTATTTTGGGGGGATGAGATCTTTGGCATGTGATGTTGATATATATATATACATAACGATATGTGTATATATGTATGTTTCTTCATACTTGGGGATGGTGCGTGTCTAAGTGGTTGGTTGATACCTTCTAGTTGGGCTGCCAGACACAAAACACAACAGACCCACCAAAAAACAAAAATTCAATTAAAATCCATTATGCATCTTTTGTTGTTGTATTGTACGTATTTGCCTTTTCAATATTGTTGTTTTATTTGTTTTTTTGGTTTTTTGCAAAGAAATTGATTTTGATTTCTTATTTCTCAACTCTTTTCAAATCTATTTGCAGAAAATACCGACAGTTACGGCGGGCTATGATAACGAGAAGCATAACGGCTCAAGGAGTAATAACGCGTCCGTAAATCAAACAAAGTATGTTTTAAAAAACTTTTTAAACTTTCATCATATTGTTTTAACGTTATTTCAACGGTTCTTCGTAGTTTCTTTTTGGTTTAGTTGATAAACATTAACCACGTATTATTTATTTAAAAACAAAAATACAACTAACATTTTCTTAAGTTCGTTTATGATTCGGTTCCTAAGTAGTGATAATAGTTTTTTTTATATACCACCAAAATAACTTTTCTCGTTTTCCCATCGGGAAAAGTATACAATAATAATAATAATTAGAAACTAGCACCTTTATAATGCCCATCTATAAAAATATTGAAAATGAATCATCAACATCAATGTTTGAAATGTATACTTCTTCGGATAGATTCATACGACCCGATATGGCCGATGTCCCAGTACAGCAGGCGGCAGGCTCAACACTGCCTTTAGTGATATCGAAGAAGAAAGGCGGTGGTGCAGATGATTCCGATGATGTCAATTATAATCCGTTCGAGCATCGGAAAGTCGAACATCCAACATCGTAAGTATACAGAGAAATCATTTTTTTATTATTTATGGACCGGAACTTTAGGTTTATATTTTACAGGAATACAAAAAAATAGTTCTCTTAAAATGTGAAATTTCAAAAAAAAAAAAAAAAAATAATAATAATAATATATCCCATGAAGATTTAGAATAACATATTACATAGTTGCCAGTAAAATACTACAAGGCAGTCTATATAACCAAATATGCTACTTATATTATAACACCTTCTGACGTTTTATACATAAAAGGTCCGTTTAAATCAGTATGCTGTATGCTTATCATATAAGAAGATATAAGGCTTACTTTCCAAAGAAGGTTATATTTTATGGATAGATTTTAATTTATAGAATAACAGAAGGTCTCTTGTGCTAGGAAGATCTAAGGGTGTCGAGTTCGTATGACTGAAATTTTTTCTTGACCTATATATGCGACAAAAATGTAATAATATAAGAAAATGCGGACATATCCGACCATATACATAATTCATTAACTAAAAGCTTCTACGATTCATGCTGGCCTGGACCACAATGAGTTGGACAAGTAAACTCGAAGAGGTCCTAATACAGGGGATATGTCTGTACATTTTCTACATTATAAATTGACTTGAAAAAGTTTTTCTATTACCAAAGAAAGGAGGAATGATGAATTACAAATACTTTGGTTGGAGAAGGAATATATCATATAAAATTTTCTGTATAAAATTTACCCACCATGAACTCGGAAAGGCAGATAGCAATTGCTTCGGTTAAAAATGTCAATTTTAAAACATTTGATGAAACGTGGACATATATTGGACATTTTCTGTAAAGTATTATTTTATGTGTTTTAACACAGAATGAAAAATTACAACCTCCTCGGCAGCAAAATCTAAATCTGAGTCTAGGTCCATCACACTACCTGTATATGAATGCGATATCAAAGCACTGCTATTTATGAAAATATATTTTTCACACTCCAAAACCAGGGAATACAAAATTGCAATTGAATTTATTTTTATTAGCAAATGCAACTAAAAATTAAAAAATCCGCTGTACACCTCCTGCGAACATTTTGCATCTGCTATGAACAGATAATAAAAAATAACATGCTTTTCTTTTGATAATTCTGTTTAGATCCATTCAAATAACCTAAATGTGGGGGACATTTATATGAAGGCTATGTGAAGACTCTATCGTGATTTCAAAATTTTGGCCATAAATCTATAAATATGTGTAAACTTTAGTGATAATCGGATTATCAGAAAAAAGTTAAAAAGAGGTCTCATTTCCTTCTGGTCCCCTAAATATTAATTGATTATTACAAAGAAAAAATTGAGTCTTCCACAATTGCGGTTTGACATTTTTAATACCATTTATAATGAATAGATGAACGGCATACATCGATAGAATGATATGATAGTCGAGATATGTCAGCTGGTACAATATGGAAAATTCTATGCCATTTAGGCTATTCAAATATGAATAGTAGCTCATAATTAATATCGATTATATTTAATATTTCTGTTCATTGAATTGTTTTATAGGTGATTGGGCTGCCATTAATTTTTGTGTAGAAACAACACGATTTTTATACCCTTCACCACACTGTGGTATTATGTATTTGTGCATTTGTTTGTAACAGGCAAAAGGAAACGAGATAGACACATGGTTCCTTTTGAGAATATGTATAGAATCACTTTTTAAGTCGATTTATGCATGTCCGTCTGTCCGTCCGTCCATGTATTTTTGCTAACAAAGTACAAGTCGCATTTGTGATCCGATTTGGATAAAATTTGGCACAGTTCACTTATTTGGCCCAAGGACGAACCCTATTGAAATTGGAAAAAATCGGTTAAGTTTTCCATAAAGCTCCCATATATATTTTCGTCCGATTTTATGTAAATGGTGCACCAAAGTCCCTATATATCCTTCGATTTCCACGAAATTTGGCATAGCATTCTTAAATAAGCCTAGAACGATGTGTGTTTAATTTCGGTTCAGATTTAGATATAGCTCCCATATATACTTTTGTCCGATTTTAGGTAAATAGTGCACCAAAGTCCGTATATATCCTTCGATTTGCACGAAATTTGGCACAGCGTACTGAATTAAGTCTAGAACGATGTGTGTTTAATTTCGAGAAAATCGGTTCAGATTTAGATATAGATCCCATATATTTTCGTCCGATTTTAGGTAAATAGTGCACCAAAGGGTATCATATAGTCGGCCCCGTCCGACTTTACTACTTTCCTTACTGGTTTTTGCAGCGGTTGGGGTCTTTGCTTGTTTAGTGTTACAATTTTCATATGAGTGACGCTATCTCCTGTCATCCTCATGTATTGGGCCATAAACATATCTCTGTGTAAATTTTCATGAGGATCGTACCATCAGAAAAAGTTCCAAATATAATGTTTCTTTGGCGTTTTCTCTAAATATTAACCGATTATCACAAAGAAACTATTGGCATCGTTCACAATTGGGGTTTGAAATGTTGATTACAATTTATTATGACCATACGAACGATAAACGTTGATAGATTGATTACACTACGCCACAAAGAAACAATTCCCATTACAATTATTTTCCTTGAAGCATCTCATTTTTTTTTTTTTTTTGCATTATTTTATGCCAGGTCAAAGTAGAATTGTGCTATAAAACTCATGTCGGATGCATCCATCTCCTTTATTTTTATTAATATTGATGGATTTTAAAATATTCACAACATTTTAATTATATATATTTTTTTTCATGTATCTAACTCATTTTGTATATTGATGTGGAGGACATTTGCCAACTCATTATATGTGTCATCTCAATGCCCTGTAACTAGCCAGACCTACCTGAAGTTATGTAAAATATTTAAGATAGTTTTTACTGACTCTTAAAAGTGAAACTAGTTACAATTTACTACTTCTGGCGCCGCTGTTATCTCTTGTAACATTACATTTACATTTTTTGTCTCCTATTTCAATTATTCATGACATATTAATAGCACCTTCTGAGATCAGCATTAAATTTAGATTTTACACTTCACCCCAATATACAACCACACACATATTGCACATACCGGCATTTTTGTTGCTGTTATTTGTGTTTTTGGATCCTCATGCATTTTACGAGTTAGCGGAAATTTTCCACTTGGCACACAAATATGTTAAACACATTCACTCATACACAATCACAAAAAGAACATAACGTCAAAACTACCAAGACATGCATTGAACGCCAAAGAAACGCCAGTGGGAAAGAGACCTTGGTCATGAAACTGTTGCCAAAAAATTTACAAGCATGTACATAGCTACATATAATGTATATATGCACATATACGTAGGTGTGTAAGCACGAGAATTTTTTATACACATTTACAAAAAAATCATACACTTTTTAAACTCACAGAAAAATGTGCATTAAAGCAAAGCGAATTCGAAATATGTTTGTCCGATATTTGTAGATGTAAACGCTTCATTGATCATTTTAAATTGGCATGGCCAATAAACTGACCAAACGCACACGTTTCTGTGCTGGCCGGCATTGCACTTTGAGCGATTGAAATAAATTGATTCGATTCACAGTGTTTTGATTTAATTTCAATTAATTGTATTCAGAATAAATGCATCGTTAATCAATTTTGATTGCACACTATTAATAAATTGGCACTTGTTATTACATTTTAGTTTTATTAACATACGTATTTTATCATTCAGCGTGGCTGAATAATTGGATGATTCAATAAAAGTATGGAATTAAAAGTAATATTTTCTTTTAATAATTAAAAAAGAAAATTTATATCGGTACCGTTATTATGCTATTGTGTATTTTAAACATGCTGAATACAGTTTCTTGTTGGTTAATAATAGGTTAAAACCAGTAAGGAAAGTAGTAAACTCGGGCGGGGCCGATTATATAATACCCTTCACCACTTTGGCTATATTCAACAGATGAATCCTAACAGACGTCGCCTTTTTAAAGTCCTAGTAAAATAAATTGGATCCATAAAAATGTCATTCTGAAACCGACACTACATTTTTCATTTGGTCAGATATAGAAGTTAGATCTAAATCTGAACCGATTCAGGAAACTTAACACACATCATTTTAGACCTAATTCATTACGCTGTATGAATTTTCGTGCAAACCGAAAGATATTAGGGGGCTTTGGTACACCATTTACCTTAAATCGGACGGAGCTATATCTAAATCTGAACCGATTTTCAGGAAACTTAACATATCATTCTAGATCTAATTCATTACGCTGTGCCAAATTTCGTGCAAATCGAAAGATATATAGGGACTTTGGTGCACCATTTATATTTAATAGGACGAAAATATATATGGGAGCTATATCTAAATCTGAACCCATTTTCAGGAAACTTAACACACATCATTCTATAACTAATTCATTACGCTGTGCCAAATGCTGTACCGAAAATTGGGGGTACCCTTATATGTGGGCTACCCGAAAAAATTTACCTATATTTATAAATTATAGTAGAGAGATTTGCTACCTAATAAGAACTCGACGTACTAAATTACAATCATTTCGGTCGAAAAATACGATCTGAACTCCCAAAATAACAAAAATTTGGGGGTACCGTTATATGGGGACTACCAGAAAAACTGGACCTATATTTATAATTTTTAGTGGAGTAATTTGGTGTCCAATAAGAACCCAATGTACAAAATTTCAGAGAATTCAGTTATAAAACGAGCCCAAGAACCCGAAAATACCGAAAATTGGCGGTACCCTTATATGGGGGCTATACGAAAAAATTGACTTTTATTTATAATTTTTGGTAGGTAGATTTGTTACCCAATAAGAACTCAAAGTACCAAATTTCACCAAATTTCAAAATACCGAAAATTTGGGGGTACCCTTATATGGGAGCTATGCCTAAACGTGGACCGATTTTCTCCAATTTCAATAGGGTTCGTCCTTGGGCCAATTAAGTGACCTGTGCCAAATTTCATCCAAATCGGATGATAAATGCGACCTGTACTTTGTTAACAAAAATACATGGACGGACCGACGGACGGACAGACGGACATGCATAAATCGACTCAGAAAGTGATTCTATGCATATTCTCAAAAGGAACCATGGGTCTATCTCGATTATTTTTGCCTGTTACAAACATATGCACAAATACATAATGCCCTGTACCACAGTGTGGTGAAGGGTAAAAAATCAACCTGGCTGAATAACATTTTCTAGGGGAAAACAATAACTTAATTTTGCTGAATAATGCTTTCTAGAAATAAATATTAGTTAGCCTGGAGCTGAATAGAGTTTATTTGTGGGAAATCAATCATTCCTCCTGGCTGAATAGAATTTTCAGAAAGAAAACAATGGTGAAAAAAATTCATCCCGGCTGAATATAGTTTTTTCTATACGTAAGTAATATTTAGCTTGTCGGAATATTAGCAAATTGTTTTCTATAGCAAATTGATCATTCCGCCAGACTGAACAGTTTTTTCTATAGGAAAACAATGTGAGAAATGTTATTCATCCTAGCTGAATATAGTTATTCCAAAGGAAACATATTCATCGTGGAAAACAATAATTCAGCCTGTCTGAATTGTGAAATATCAAATTACAGAAAATCAGGTTGGGAAATTGATCTAGAAATTTCAACATACCAAAAATTATTTCAACATACCAACATTTGAACATTTTCAGAGTAGCAGTTTTGATGTTCGCCAGGAACCCCAAATTCCAACTCTAAGGTACTTCGGAGGAAATAAGTGGTTAAAAATTCAAACTACCGATTATGGAGCGGGCCTTTTATAAATCCAATACACATCGTTGCATATTGAACATATTCAGAGAAGTTGTTTTTTTATTCGCCAGTAACACAGAATGCAAAATTTAAGGTACTTCGAAGGAAATAAGTGGTTAACATTTGTTCTGTTCCCGTACTGCAAGAATGTACTCGATTTTACAATTTTCTTCGATATCATAAAGGAAAAAAGTGTTATCGGAGTAAAAAATTGTAGATTCTTGCAGTACGGGAACAGACCAATTTCAAACTACCGATTATGGAGAGGGCCTTTCATAAATCCAATACCTATCGGAAACGTTTCATTTTGAGCATATTCAGAAAGTTTTTTTATTCGCCAGGAACACAGAATGCAAAATTTAAGGTACTTCGAGGGGAAAATGCGAAATATCCAAATCATGAAAATGGAGAGGACTTTTATGAGGCATTCATCTATTATTCAACCTGTTTTCTGAAGGAAAATAATTATTCATCATTTGTTTTATATAATAAAAAGAAATACCAATTCCTTTCATAGTATATAATATACCCATGTAGGGTGCTCACATTTGACATTTAAACAGGAAATTAACAAATTTGTTGTTACAAACAAATACATTTCATCACTTGGCAGCCGACCATCAATGTGTTTGATGGTCACTGAAACTAGTTGTCCATTTTCTCTGTTAGAACAAGTTAAACGTGGCGTTAAATGTGGCGCTTGTACGGATATATCTATGTGTGTGTGTGAGGTATTTAATATATGAATGTCAATGTGATTTTGCATTGCATCCCCTCATGATATAGTTTTAGTTCATTGAACACAAAAGCAGACAGACTGACAAAATGTATTTTCAGGTTTTTTTGTTCAATTTTCTTTTCTTTCCTTACATCTTAAGTAATACATGCAAAATGCTTTTTGAAACAATGCCAATATAAATAAATAATTAATATAAAATACATAATATTATACACAAATAAAAATTATAGTTGATTTTGTAGACAAATAATAAATAAACATCGTCATAAAATATTGACAATATATGAATACGATATTATAGGGATTTTGCTTCACTTTCAATTCGATACTCAGTACCATTCAATTTTTCTTAGATTTTTATGACATTTTTTCAAACTTTAAGTTCCGGTTCATGAATGTGTTCAAGCCCCATCATTTTTTATACTCAATATAATTGATAAATAATTTTCATTACAGTGATTTGGAAACATTTGTACATCTGCTCAAGGGCTCCCTGGGTTCGGGCATCTTGGCCATGCCAATGGCCTTCCTCAATGCCGGTCTTTGGTTCGGTCTGGTCGCTACCTTCTTGGTGGGCACACTGTGCACCTATTGTGTACACATTTTGGTGAAATGCGCTCACATTCTATGCCGGAGGCGTAAAATCCCCATGATGGGTTTTGCCGATGTTGCCGAACAAGCATTCCTTGATGGTCCAGTTGGTCTTCAGCGTTGGTCTCGCTTTATACGTTTTGTGGTCAATACTTTCCTGGTCATCGATTTAATTGGATGCTGTTGTATTTATCTGGTATTTGTCGGCACGAATGTTAAACAAGTTGTGGACTTTTATATGGAGGAGGAAACTGAATTTGGTATACGATTGTGGATTGTCATCATTACCGTGCCGTTGATCTTTATGTGCCTGGTTAGAAATTTGAAATTCTTAACTCCATTCTCAATGGTGGCAAATCTATTGATGTTTGTTGGCATAATCATTACCTGTACCTACTTGTTTACCGATACCCCGTCGACAACGGAACGTGTCGGCGTGGCTGATGTTGCCCAATGGCCATTGTTCTTCGGTACTGTCATCTTCGCTTTGGAAGGTATCGGTGTAGTTATGTCCTTGGAAAATGACATGAGAAATCCCACTCACTTTATTGGCTGTCCATCGGTGCTGAATTTGGGTATGGGTGTTGTCATCACTTTGTACACCTTTGTTGGTTTCTTTGGCTATTTGAAATATGGTTCGGATACGGCTGGCAGTATTACCTTGAATTTGCCTGTAGAAGATAAGTAAGTAGCTATGATTTGTTAAATAAGTGATAAATATTTTTAAAAATGATTTTGATTTATTTTTTTTATAGGTTGGCCCAATCTGTGAAGCTGATGATTGCCATTGCAATTTTCTTCACATTCACTCTGCAATTCTATGTACCCATGAGCATTATCTGGAAGGGTATCCAACATAAAATCGCTCCTGAAAAACAAAATGTGTCCGAATATGCTTTGAGAGTTGGTTTGGTGGTAAGTAATCGATTATAAATAAAATTAGCAGAATAGAAATCATAAAAATACATAAAATCATGCCACAGCGTAGTGTGTAAAAATTGACAGAAGGTCCGAATTCCTATAGCCCAAATTTAAATTTTTATACTACCAGGCTTAAGGCCATTGAGTGCCTCGTTGAAATATCGGATTTTGACCCCAAGTGTCTTTAGTCCATATACGGTTGGAACTATTCGAAACCAATTTAAAAATGTCCCTTCATCCGTCAGCGTAGTATGTAAAGATTGTCAGAAGGTCCGAATTCCTAAGGCCAAAATTTGAATTTTTATACCACCAGGCTTAAGTCCAATGAATGCCTCATTGAAATATCGGATTTTGACCCCAAGTGTCTTTGGTCGTATATCCGTCTTTCTGGCAGTTGTCCCGCATGATAACTATCCAAAATTTGCACATCGTCATATTTCTTCAAAACAACAAAAACATAAAGTTCGAAGTTGGCTAGTATTGGTCGACATCTACTAAAATTTATTTAAAATGCGAACAAATTGCCAATTGATCTAAATTTTGCATATCTCACCCGGTAACTCCAAAAATGTCTCCGCTTCTAGTATAACCTCCAATTGATCTAAATTTTGAATATCTCATCCGGTAACTCCAAAAAGGTCTCCGCTTCTAGTAGAACCTCATGAAAAGGTCAATATTTTTAAAATTGTAAAATTGATAAGAAGCTAATTGAGTGTCCGTAAAAAAACCCAAAGGTAGACCCGTTTCGAAGATGGGATATATCAGTCATTTCCTACAGATAACTTCCTCAACAATAATTTGGAGATCTTGTAGGTTTCATATAAGTTGAATGGAGTGCCCGAGGGTATATATTATATTTGTTTGCAACAGCGATTTTTTTTCATTTTGTACTACGGTTTTTGGGCTCTCATAAGTATGAAGTAAATTGTATTTTAGGCTCTCCTACCAATAATTTTAAATATTGGTACAATTTTTAGTTTAACTCCCATATAAGGGTAACAAATTTCGGTATTTCGGTGAGTTTGGACAAGTTTTTAAACAAATTGGCTGTAATATAAAAATCAATATTGACTTCAAATTTGCGGTACCACCCACATTATTCGGCAATTGGTGGATTTTGGGAAAGTTTTTCAATCGAAAAATTTGTCTACCATGAATTTACCATGGTAATGCACATAGGAAAAGGTTCCCATCGATTTTAATTACTTTTAATGTACACCTAATGTTGCAGGATATACCAAGTTCGTCCTTAACGTCCTATTTACTTTGTTTTTGTATTTTTTTATTAAAACGTTTTCTTCTTCTTCCAGATCCTCTGTGGTGCTATTGCTGTTGCCCTACCCAATCTGGGTCCATTCATTTCCCTGATCGGTGCTGTGTGCCTCAGTACTTTGGGCATGATTGTGCCATCTATTATCGAATTAGCCGTCTATCATGAAGATCCCGGATATGGACGTTTCAAATGGCGCCTGTGGAAGAATGTCTTCTTGATTTGCTTTGGCATTATTGGTTTTGTGACCGGTACCTATGTCAGTATATTGGAGTTCCATGCCGAATTCAGTAATTAATAACAAAAAACAACAACAACAACTTCTAGAGTATTTTCTTTTTTGTTTGTTTAATTGTTTTTACATGAGATGATATTTTCTAATGATATGTTTATAATTTTTTTAAATAGTTTTAAAAGCAAAAGTAGGACGTTTGCTAACAATACACAATGTAATTTTAATAACAATAATAATTTATGAAAAAAGAAATATAACAACAAAACCACAGGGAAAACTAACTCAGATGTTTTTTTATTAATTAATTAATTATCATCTAACCAAATTATATACAAAAAACAAGGCCACAATTCTATAGAATTTATTCATCTATAATTAGTTAATAAGTTATTTAAGTTCCAATTGAAAATGACTGTGATGTCTGTGCACATTATTTAGGGCAGATATTCACAAAAAAGACAAGACAACTATTTTTTAGAGATATTAAAAAACAGAAAACCCGAAAAAATATTGGCTCAAATTTTAAATCTGACCTGGTATTTTAACAAAAAAATGGGGCAGATGAAGTTATTGAAATTTGAAAATAAACTAAAAAGCTAATTAAGTTCCCTTAGATTAGTTTAGACAACACACACACATACAAAGAAAAACGTAGTACCTTTTGCTAATGAAATTGTAGTATCATATATGATAACCCTATGAATGTAGATAATGGCTAAGTCAGAAAGAATTTTAAATTTATTTTTTGGCTTAGTTTAAACATTTTTTTACTAACACTAAATACGTTTATTTATTTCTATGATTTTCTTTAAACATAGCAATCAATTGGCTTTTTACGTAAGATTGAATTGTGCATTAAAGCAGGGCTGAATAAGCCACACACACACGCTCACTCGAATTTAAATATTGGTGTGTGTTACAAATGAAAGCAAGATATTTGTATTATAAACTTGTGTAGCTCTGCCTTATGGCCACTAAACAATTTCTTACCTCCTAATTTCTGATCCTGACCCTCTTAACTACTTTAACTTTTTCAAAATTATTCTACAAGTTTTAAGGCTGTAATTTGTAATTCTTTATTAAGGAAATAACAACAAAACAATTCAAGTTCAAAAGTCTGTGGTTCCTATTAACATTAATTTTTAAGGCATATTTTATAACAGGAATTTATCAAAATCCCTCATATAAGCTTTAAAACTTAACGGTAACCACATTTTGTTTTTAAGAAAGACGCTACACTTTTTTCGACCCCATCCTTATTTATTATTGTAATATTATACATTTTTCTTCCCTTACATATGTATAATAGGATTGCCTTAAAGTTTTACATTTTAGAAAATAATAAACAAAATAAAAGCAGATGTATATTTTCATTAAATACATCATTTGATTGAAATTTATTATCATCTATTTTGAAAAACAAAAACAGATAAACTACATTTATTATTATGTATTAATTTGATAGAACAACTAAAAAATAAATAAAATAAACAAAAAAATATATTTGTGTTTGTATATTATATTAAAACAAGTAAAACCAGTAAGGAAAGTAGTAAAGTCGGACTGGGCCGACGATATGATACCCTTCACCACTTTGGGTATATTCTACATATGTATCCTAACAGACGTCGCGTTTTTGTTATATTTCATATATTTCAGGGAAACTTGCCAGAGACTAAATTATATTACATCAGTACGTTGTATCAATCGGCCTAGCTATGGATCTTTTCACGGAACTTAGCAACATCATTCTAGACTTAATTTAGAACCCTATACAAAAATGGGGAGCTATATCTAAATCTGAACCGATTTTCACGAAACTTTGCACACATCATTCTAGACTTAATTCAGTACGATATGCCAAATTTTGTGCAAATCGAAATATATATAGGGACTTTGGTAAACCATTTACCTTAAATCCGACGAAAATATATATGGGAGCTATATCTAAATCTGAACATATTTTAACGAAACTTAGCACACGTCATTCTAGACCTAATTGAGTACGCTAGACCGAAATTCGTGCAAATCGAATGAATTTCAGGTAGTTTGGTGTACTTTTTGCCTAAAATCGGGCGAAACTATATATAGGAGCTATATCTAAATTTGCACCGATTTTCACGAAACTTAGCACACGTCATTCTAGATTTAATTCAGTACGCTATGCCAAAATTCGTGCAAATCTAATGATTTTCAGGACTTGGGTCCACCATTTACTTAAAATCGGGCGAAACTATATACGAGAGTTATCTAAATCTGAACCGATTTTCACGAAACTTAGCACACGTCATTCTAGACTTAATTTAATACGCTGCGCCAATATTCCTTCAAATCAAAAGATTTGCAGGGAGTTTGATGCACGGTTTACCTAAAATCAGGCGAAACTATATATAGGAGCTATATCTAAATCTGAACCGATTTGAACGAAACATATCACACGTCATTCTACACTTAATTCAGTACGCTATGCCGAAATTCGTGCAAATGAAAAGATTTCCAGGGACTTTGGTGCACCATTTACCTAAAATCAGGCGAAATTATATATGAGAGATATATCCAAATCTGAACCGATTTTCATGAAACTTAGCACATATTATTATATCCACAACTCAGTACGCTATGCCAAATTTCGTGCTAATCGAAAGATATATAGGGTCTTTGGTGTACCAATTACCTTAAATCGGATGAAACTATATATGGGAGCTATATCTAAATCTGAACCGACTTTCCCAAAATTCAGCACACATCATTGTCGACTTAATTTAGTACGCTATGCCAAAATAAGTGCAAATCTAATTATTTTCAGGGCCTTTGGTGTACTATTTACCTAAAATCGGGCGAAAATATATATGGGAGCTATATCTAAATGCGAACCGTGCCAAATTTCATCCAATTCGGATCATAAATGCGACCTGTACTTTGCTCACAAAAATACATGGACGGACGGACATGCATAAATCGACTCAGAATGTGATGCTATGCATATTCTCAAAAGGAACCATGGGTCTATCTCGATTCCTTTTGCCTGTTACAAACATATGCACAAAGACATAATACCCTGTACCACAGTGTGGTGAAGGGTATAAAAATTTGTCAATATATGTTGACGACAGATATATACCCTCATCCTATGGTTTGCAGTGGTCTGCGGAATTATATTTCGCATTATATGAGAATATACCTAATATAAAGTGAAATATAATACCGTTTCTACCATAGAATTTACCATCTGTGGAGAGGTACCAGAAGAGGTTGCCCTATATACCCATCGTCGTATTTAAATATTGCGAGGTGCAACAATGAGTGAAATTGGCAATTCAATTCGCTACAAATTAAATGTATATGTTCCTTTATAATATGTTGACGCCTTGGGGGAGATAACAGACGCAGAGCACGGACCGATGTCCCATCTTCGGACTTCATCTATGTAAGGTAAACTTATTACGATGTGCAATGTTTCGATGAAAGTGTATATTCGGATGGCTTCATATGATATTTACAAATTTGACTGTTTGCGGGAGAGATAATAGGATGAATGCTCCGATAAGTCCCATCTTACAACATTAATCAGGCATGGTTAAAAAATTTCGTTGTGCAAAGTTTAGTTCACATGGGATAGTTTGTTCGCATGATATAAAAAATTAATTTTCCAGATGGAATGGTCCGATAGGTCCCATCCCAGCACATTCCATTCACTTAATATTGAATCTACTTTTTTTAATTTTGACTCTTTGTGGAGGAGTTACTGGAAGGATATCGCCGATAAATTCCACCTTCCAACAACATTTAGTGTCTTATAAACATATTCCTTCTAGTATCCCGCCACAAAATGATCTACATTTTGAAAAATTTTTAATTCAATAGCAATCGTATGAAATATCTTATTAGATACAAATTCTCACATCGATTCCAATATTTTTAAACGTTTCTCGAGTGTATAGCTATCGGTTCACTGAACTTATGATAAATCCACATAGTAAAATATTCCATTCAATACTTTACTTATTTTATATTAATATTCAACTTATTTTTAAATTTTTCACAAGAACGTATACGATTATACCTTTCATATGACGCCACTTTCATTTGAATACCTGCAATACGTATAAAGAGGTATAAACCTCGTCGTCAGCGCCATCTACTGATGGGCATGATTCAAATCATGCAAGTCAGGTTTTTAGTTCCAACCTTCAAAGCGTAAAACTTTTGAACAGATTATAGCATTTCAACATATGAAGGAGTAAATAATCTACATATGATCAGCAAACAATTCTTATAACATAAATATTATCGAGAGAAATTATCGAAAATTGTAATACTACATATCATATTAAATAATTAAAAAACTAAAATTATTGTTATTTTACAAGAAAGTAAGTAATGGTGTCGTTGATATGACTAAATTTTATTAAAATATCTTCAGTAAGTCAACAGCAATAAAAAAGCAAATAAGGTTTAAGTTTTTCTTAATCCAATTTTAAATCGACCTATTCAAAAGATGGCGCTGACGACTAGTGTTTGCAAGTACTGCTGATTTTAGAGAAAATCATAAAAATCATAATTTTTTAATAGCTTAGAACATATAAGAGAGTTGCCAAAGTATGACACCAATTTGATTTAGAAATTAATAGTAGATCAAAAGTTATAAGAAATACAAGTGAGGTTTAAATTTAGCACAATTGATTTTTGAATCTATCTATTTAATAGATGGCGGTGACGACAAGTGTTGGCAGTGCTGCCAAATTTACAGCAAATCATGGGTATTTGTTATTTATTTCACTTTCGAGATACTACATTCCCACCATTATGTGACGCATTTCGCCATTGGTTAATTGGCTTATAAAGCATATTGGGCCTTACAATTGTAGTTACTTGACTTGTTGTATTTATGTCCAATATTGTTGCGAAATTGCATATACGCAATAAATTCAACCATGTCAAGGTTCGGGCATTTGACATCACACCAGAACATCGCTTTTCATTATCAACCTGACTTTTTTCCATACAACCTACAATATTGTTCTTCCATGGTATACAAATGTGTATTCTGTAAGGAGGTGCCTTTGAACGTTAAGGCACAGGGCAACAAGAGAGATATA